ACTGCTACAATGGGCGACGCTGCTCGAATTCTCAGGAACCTCTTTGCACAAAAATTAAGTTTAAGCCCAAATTTCCATACGTGTGAAACTACCTCAAGTATCACGAAACATAATGCTGTTATGAAGCATTAACATAAGCAAGACATAAACAGCAAAGAAATCACCGAATGATTTAAGCGTAGTGCATCACATAGTGAAGCAAGCATGTAGTGTTTAAAGTATAATGGTACAGATTTCTGTTGCCGTGTCTCGAAAATGCTCCAATGTTCAAAGAGTTAATCACTCAAATGCTATGTTTCAGATGGCAGCACAGAAACTTAGAAGCAAGAGAACAACGGTGTTTCAGAACATCGGGAACTCGCAGAACTCGTTCACACCCTGCAGCGCTGAGGTAATCGCTCGTATCAGTCCCCCCGCTTCAGGATTGAACATTAAGTTGCCAGTCTGGCCGTCGATGTCGTGTCGCAGTTCGCCAATCTTCTCATCCAATGTATGCTGCTGATGTCGTCGTATGAAGCCCCAAAGACTGTGTGCAACAAAACGTCCGTACCAACAACCTTCGACGCTTCTACAGTAAGAATAAAGATGACTCCTCAGCATCATGTGAGCTACTTTTGCGCTGAGTGGAATTTTTGCCAAACTTATCGAACTATTCTGTCCTCCCGGCGAGGCTATCAACAGTAATTACTTCTAACAGTACTTGTGGAGTAATTTTGAAGTTCTCAATCGAGTGCCAGTGTCGCCTTCTTGACGGTGAACATAAGCAGATCTGGAAATGTTTCATAATAATGGTTTATAATAACAATGACATGGTAAACTGGAGGCAAACCAGAGGTAGATTTCTTGGTATGCCTCATTCTTCACGAAGAAATTAAGCAGGGGGTATCAAAGGCATCGGAAATAAGAACAATCATTCTGTTAAACTGTAATCGCCGAGCATACTCCCTGATGATGGTGGAAAACGTGGCATTTACACTGGATAAGTCCTCCTCCGTTTCACCTCTTTGCTGATCCCATTGGAGTAACGTTGTACGAGATGAGTTCCTGCAATTGTTTGACCTATGGCGTTAAGGAAGAGACCAGTTTATAAAAATGTCCTGTATACAAAAGCGTTTGAGTGATACAACGTACTATCCTCGAAAACAATAATTACGTTGCAATCTACGAGAGAGATCAGCAGGTAGCTGGCCTCGTATCGTGAACGACGCATCTCGACCAGCATGATGCCCCTGTCTCGGTCATTGTCAGCACTGTTTCAGAAAAAATTAGACATCAATGTTAATTAGCACAAGGGAAGTCACTTCTTCCTGGAAAACTATGCAATTAGTAGACAATCACCCAGATGGCTCATATTTCATTCTGACAGCAGGCATAATTAATTATTATATTTCTTTAAAATTGGAAACAATGAGATCAGGCATCGTACAGCATTTTAAAAACTGTTGCGTTGCTAGGTGACGTACTGACCAAGCGCGGCTGAATAATTCTGAGAAAGGGAGAAAATTACTCTGAGGAAAAGTGTCCCACCCGCAAGCATAATGCATTGATACATATATCGCTGCAACTGTTCAAACACCACGCATTTCTGATCTGCATAGATAATCGGTAGGCATCTGTAAACAAATAGGTGATGAGATAAGCGAAGACTGGTTTGGAGCAGATGTGCGTCTCATATGCATATTACTTGTTTTTGTATACTGTTTCTGCGGCAGGTTCATCATGAAATGGTTCAGCATGGATCGACTGTGATCTGTAACGTGGGGCAAACCGCATATAACATATAGATGCAAATGATCATTGTGATAAAGGGCTATGCGACCCTGTAAAGAACTCAGGTAATGCTTTTGAACTATTATGAATATGTTTTTCGACCCATCCGAACTGCAGTGAAACTGGTTTATGACGATCCCCTCATGACTGCTATATTATTTCCATGAAAATTTCCCTTCTAGCTGCCGTTTATGGTAAGCCAGAACTCACTTGATGGATTCTGGAATAAGTGGCTGGAAAACAATGAGACGGACGAAAACATACCGTTGTATGATTTCCAAGGGTCATCGTACAAGTGTGAACGAGTTTAAAGCTAGTACTGCTTATTGCACGTATTTTCAAATGTTGAGAAATATCTACGTCGCATAAAATTTAATGTTCCAAGAACTAAAACAAGTTCGTCTAAGCATTTATTTTCACTATATATCCATTGCTATGAATATCACTTTGAATGCTGTTGTTGATTAGTGTACTAAAATTAAAAATTGTTCGTTTGAATATCAGCTACTCGGTTCCATTAGCATCGTTGAAGATTATTTTGAGGATGCCTGCCTTTTCTGTGCTTCCAAATGCGCTTTCTCTCTTTGCTCCAAAAGTCTTGCAAAGTGACATGACTCGGCTGGGTTTTGAAGCTGAGGTCGTGACTCATGAGAGTGGTACATTCCGTGACAAAGCTGATTCTGCGAACGCACACGCAAGGGATGAATATTCTGCGCACGTACATCGGCAGCTGTTCCACCTTCTTCGACAGACTGTAGCTGGACCGTATGAGGATCAGAGGTTGCACCAGGATGTTGATGGTCTGTAGATACATGGTGCTCATGATCATGGCGATGCGCATGCGCCACGTCACCCGTTCATGTTCGAAGACGACCAGCACGGACACGGCGACGATGAAGGTCATGAACAGCGAGTGGACGATCGCCCATGGCAGCACGTTCCTGGCGTTGGTGGCCGTCTTCCACTGCAGCACCCTCTCGCTCAGGCTCTGCTCAGTGTTGCTGATGTCGAAGTGCAGCACCTTCATGCGACTTCGACGGAACACGTACGAAAAGTTGACTACGGCGATGAACAAGGCGAACAGCTCGACCGAGTGCAAGCTGAACAGCAGCGTGTGGTTCGTGGTCAGAATGTGGTGGCAGAAGCAATCGAACTCTTGATGTATGGCCACGCGAGCATTGTAGGCCGCCCCGCACACGAACGCCAAAGTCCACGTGAGCAGCAGCATCACAATCACTCCTTTTTTACGACTCATGTACGACTGACCGTGAGAGTACGAGTTCAACAACAGTACGATGGAGATGACCACCACCGAGGTGAGGTTGACGGCGTACAAAGATGCCGCCGGGTAGTTAATCCAGCGACAGTGGGCACTGTCCAGCAAGCGACGAATGGCGAACACGTTGTACACGGTCATGAACATCATCGCCAAGCCGTGCAGCATCGTACACGCCGACACGTTCAGCAGCATGATCCTGATCCACGGCTCGGAATGACGGTTCGACAACAACAGTTTAAAGTAAAGCAGGTTGTAGACTATCGCCGGAGATAGTAAGAGTAACAGTGCCACAGCGGTGATGACGACCAGACTCTTGTCGTACGAGACAACGCAGTCTTTGACACGCGACGCGTCGTCGAGAGTGACGTTTTTCAACAGTTGCACAGCTCTGGTACTGACCACGGTAGTTGTGCTGCCAAACACGCGGACGGTGGTCCTGACAGTCACGGACGAGTTCAGAAACGCCTTCATAAGCTTCAACGAAAATCTGCTGCTTATTCAAGCACCTGAAACAAACAGCCGGTTGTGAGACCTTGAACTGATTCCGCTATCAACCGCGGACGACATGACGAAGGCTTTAAA